GAACCGATCCGCTCTTCACGCCTAGCATGGATCTGAATGGAGCCAGTGGCGATGGCGATGCGGCACCGAAGCCTTCCTCCTTCACCGAAAAGGAAGAAGCAGCAAATGCCGAAAAGCCGATGGAAGAAGCCAAGCCGGAATCGCCTGCTGAGCCGATGACCGAAGAACCTAAGAAAGAAGAAGCGAAGCCTGCCGCGGAACCCGCCATCGAAGAAATGGCGACTCCGGTTGCAGGAACCCCAGAAGAACCTGCCAAGGAAGAAGCTTCCAGCGAAGAAAAGCCGGCAGAAGACAAACCGGCCGAGGACAAGCCTGCCGCCGAAAAGCCAGCGGAAGAAGCGAAACCGGCTGACGAGCCTGCCTCGGAAGAGGAATCGTCCGAAGCCGACAGCGAATAAAACACGTTCGCTTAGCGCCAATGGAAACGGTGCGACGCGATCGTAAGGCTTCGCAACATCTTGCAGCCCCGGAGGGGCGACCGAAAATAGCCAGGGTGGAAACTCCTGGTATTGAGCAAACGGAAAGACTCTTAAGCCCTGAAGGGGTGGCCGAATCGCAGGATTCCAGGATCGGCCGCCCTTACAGGGCTTAGCTCATTTTGAATCATACTTTTTCTGCCTCACAAGCCATGCGATATACGGTCGACAAAGCAGACGCNNTTAGATCAGTTTGTCACGCAGCAGATCAAGAAGGCGAGCCGTGCTCAGGTTCGCGAGGCGATCGACAGCGGCCAAATCACGATCAACCAGCAGCCAATGAAGCCTTCCTACAAGCTTCGCCCCGGCGACGTGGTCGACTTCCCGCAGATCGGTGCCCGGCAGCAACAGCAAACGCCTGAGCAGTCCGATCTCGACATCCTCTATCAAGACGAACACCTCGCGGCAATCAACAAGCCGCCTGGCATGGTCACCCATCCAGCCAAAGGACATTGGGACGGAACGCTTACCGCGGCTTTGCTGGCGAAGTTCAGCCAGCTGAGCGATATCGGTGGGGCGTCGCGGCCTGGCATCGTGTNNCGGCGTGCTTGTCATCGCGAAGCATAACGAAGCCCACGAGGCCCTCACCCAGCAGTTCGCCGACCGCTCGACCGAGAAAGAGTATTTCGCCATCGTCGCGAACTGCCCCGATCGCGACCGCGACATGATCAACGAACCGATCGGTCCGCATCCTCGCTACCGCGAGCGAATGTCGATCGTGCGAGACGACCCGACCGCCAAAGAAGCCCAGACGTTTTACGAAGTGGCCGAACGGTTCGACGGCTTCGCAGTCTTCAAAGTGATGCCGAAGACCGGCCGTACGCATCAGATCCGTGTGCATCTGGCCCACATCAAGCATCCCGTGCTGTGCGATCGTGCTTATGGTAGTCGCGCTCGAATCACGCTCGGCGAGCTTGCTCGAACCGATGACGAGCAAATCATTCTTTCACGCACCGCACTGCATGCTCGGCGGCTGAAGATCACCCATCCTGTGACCGGGGAACCGCTTGAATTTGAAGCCCCGATGCCGGAAGATCTTCACTCAACTTTGGTCGTGTTGCGCAAGTACCGTTCGGTATAGACGCGGTCGTCAGGATACAGCATCTGCATCATGTCGGACGTGCCGATCGCCCGCGTCGTATAGAACAGCTCGCCGGCTCCGTACCCTGCGGTCGCCCCCAGGTAAATCGCAGCCCCTTTGACGCGTTCAAAGACGTACGCTTTTTCTTCGG